AATTCAGTCCCAAGCGACGATAACAGCGCACACTGAAAAAACAAAAAAACGCGTGCGCAGATGACTAATTCTCGCTTTACTAGTTCACCAGTACTTATTTACACCGTCAAAATCGCCGATATCATCACAGAATATCATTGAGTTGCCAGATTACTTCTAGCTACGCATTCTCTTCGCTTTTTAATGAATTTACATATCATTGATATTATTCTTTCGTCAACTTTTTTTTTAAAAAGTGTACATATCACATTATATGGACATTTGTATAACAGTGCATCACACATTTGTACAAAATGCGTCAGTTTAAAATTATATTTTTCCAGTACGTGTCATGGGTGATTACAAAATGTGTCAATCGAATTCAGTCAGTTATTAGAAGGCGTGGTCAACGTTATTACAATTTACGTCAGTCATTTGTTTATTTCACTGTCTATTATTATTATTTTTAGTATCAGTCTTGAATATAATAGCGTAATTTACATATAATTAACGCAACTTTTCCTTTAAATCTAATAATAGAGTGAAGTTACAGGCAGTTCCATGCTTTCCAGTGTTGACTATAACATTGGCATACGGCGATCTGATTGGTCAAAACGGCCGGCCCAGTCATGTTAGAATATCAATTTGCGATTGTACGGAAGGGAGCTCAAAGTTTTTTTCTTGCAACAACTCGTGCCATAAGGATGTCAACACTTGATGTGGGTCATTCGACTGGCGTGAGTTCTAGTTTCCGCTGATACAGGGTTCAATTACGAAAATAAGGTCGCGTGCACTTCTATTATCTTAAAAGTCAATATCACACTTCACGCGGACCTGAATTTACGATCTCCTCGACAAGATATGCGCATACATTTATCTGGTTACCATGGCAACGTTCACGGTGGTGAATACACGTGCCAGTCAACATCATCATTCAGCCTGAAAGATCAACCCCGTTTTGAGCAAATATTTACATATTTGGGTCACGTGAATAAAACACCCATTTCGTCCAATGGCTGGATAGCAATGAACACACACTCCACGTAGACCCCAGGACACTCGGCTCATTCCAGCGATGCCTCGATTGTTAGTAGTTTAGTTTAGCCGAGTTGTCGATCATTCAGTGTAACATCGTCTACGAGTCAGTGTTCTCTTGTCTCAACTAGTCGGTGACTAGTATACAGCGGTTACTCCAAAATCGTGTTCACTAGCAGGTGGGTTGAGAACATAATTCATATTAATATTGCACGTACTATGTGATATTTAGTCCGGTGTCAGGTTTGGGGAAGGCAGTTTACGTTACAAGACAGAACTATAGTCGCCACACTGTTCTTCGGAACGTACATCCGCGATTATTGGATAAGTGAATGTCAAGGGCCATTGAGTAATATGGCGGAATGTGCGTATGAACTACTTTTTTCGCGTCATTTAATTTTGAATGATTAATGCAGTTTTGATAACTAGCTAGATTTTGGTAGCATGTCCCTGCGAATGAATATCGCGTGGTTTAGCTGCAGCCCCTTGACAGTGTCCACGCTAGTTGCATGGAGAGGGGCGATTGGAACTGCAGCATAAATCTTCTGAAGGTCAGTGTTAGAGTTGACATTGAGTGGGCAACTGGCAAATGATGACAGTTCCAGGTGTGTTCAAGTATGTATATGCTGACACCGATTATAATATTATTATATAAACAAACATAAACACCTAATTCAAAACACCGTGGCGCTAATCCCTTTGTGAATGCGACTACTATTCTGGCTTAGTGGCGAGTGGCGTGGGGAATGAATTTTGTCATACGCCCGCCACTATAATGATACAAAAAAGTAACGAATAACCGCATTTTAAAGTTCAAAATACGTATCAAAAATTATGAAATGTTCCTCCCATTTTTATTTTGTTACTTTGCAGGTTGGCCATTGAAAGGTGCGTTTGAAGCGACCGCGCGCAGGTTAACGCGCCTTCACCCACTCTTTTGTAAACTGTCGAGTGTGGTATTTTTTTTTTTTTTTATTCTTTTTTTTTTATTTTCTCTGTACAAATTTTGTTTTAAGAAACGTCTGCATATCTCCTTCACTAAAAGGGTTCATCCACTGGGAGCTCCAGACAAACTCTTCTGGGAAAACGTTTTTTAACTAAATGTCTCTTACCGACCACTACAGTATGTTATCGCGTATTGACTGACCATGAAGTGATTTGTGAGTATGTTCTCCCCGAGGACCACTCCAATATGCCAACACAGCGAGTATGCCGGTAAACTAGACTAGACACTGACCCAACCATCGACCACTAGCGGTTTTCAAGTGCGCGTGATATTACGTCCGCAATTTGTAGCCTCGTTCGAGGTCGGTTCGTGGCACGTAGCCTCGTTCAAAGTCTCTCCATGGCCTGTACGGTCAACAAGCGCATGGAACTTCATAATTTCGTGGTACATCTGCGAAGCAGTGTTATAAAAAAAACATCCATATTTTGTGGTGGGATTGGTCAATCCACCATCACGTGACATTATACAACTTTAGGTTGTTCGAAGAAATTAGTTTTCCAACTTCCCCCATTCGTTTGGATGACCTTCAGGCCCTTGAAAAAAAATATACGTATACATACATACACTATGATAGATAATTATATGACAGTTTCAGTGATTTATTACACGAGTCGCAAAAAAAAAAATAAGAATGAATACAATGGCGGATTATATGCCGTACTCGATGCCAATAATCCTACGTGACAATAAAACCTGCCAACAGTCTATTGTCATCCGCATCGCTACTGTGTCACTCACGAATGTAATAAACTCTACACTTTCAGTCCATGTGTGCGGAGAACGTAAAATATATGGAATTAAAAACCTTTATCACAAATGTAATAAAGTTCTTATTTAGTATGGTCGCAGTTATTTCATTTGTGGTTGTTAATTTTACAGTTCATTCATTACATTGGGGTGGGGCAGCTACAATAAAGGCTGAACAAATTCTAATATAACACTTCGATATTGTAAAAATATTTCTTTTTTGAAATAAATCCCAAAAGCAACTAATTTTGACACAAAAAAACAACATAATTATATTTAGATTAATTCATGACGCAATGTATTTTATATGTACACCGTTGGTAATTGACGTAATTACTGATTACACATGAATATTTAAAAAAACAAAACGTAATTTGATATGTTCTCTATATTTTTGCATTTCATTTGTCATGCATTGTGCCTGAAAGAAGTTGAGAATGAAATTACGAAGTGTGCAGTGTGTAAACAATAACCGCCTGCCAATGACAGTTAAGAAAAGGGCAAATAGAATATTTCAAACAATGATGATAAACACTTCGCTGGGCGCCAGTTTTACAAATCAGTCATATTGACGTAGTCAGCAAACCCCCGGTGCACCCGTGACCTTCGGACACAACCACCATATTAAATCTTGGAGTTGATGAGCCTCGGGTGAACAAAGTGCAAGTCTCGCAATACGTGCAACATCGCACAATGACATTCCCGTAAAATTGACCCCTGGCAATGAACCTATTCTACGCTCGGTCGTTATTGTAGTCCACAACTGATCGGCAGCATTCTTTCAATTTCATATCGCCAAGTAGCAGCATTTACGACCAGTCAAATTTTTTACTCTCATGATATTTAAAGTGGCCACACAAGACTAGGCGCGAACCAATGTTCGAGCCTTATCAATCTGGGCTGGATCATTAAAAATACGCCCCTGTTGATTAAAACAACTAGTTTGTTCAGCGAAGTCAATAAAAAATCGAATTAGGGGTCAGGTGGCCATTGGCAACTACTATTACGCCGGTTAGACGGTAGAACAAATGTGATCATAATTATGTTTTCATACAGTTTTGAGCTGGATTGTTTTGTTTTTTGGTAATTTTTTGAAAGTTTTTTTTTTTTTTTTTTCAAATTGTCATCTGTCTGTCATCCGTAAAGTTTCTAATGGTCAACCCCATCGCGCGCAACTCGTTATTTGTCATGGGCGTGTCCTAGGTTACTGGTACGGAAACGGAAACTGTTCGTTGACACCTCCTTCAAAAACGGTTATCCTTCAAACGAATCTACTCTAATATCACCATGGAAACACACAGATTCATCGTAATTACATTTGAATATAGTAATTATGTTTTACATATTCATTTTAATTTGTATGAATGATCTGAACATAACCCTTGAACAAACAAAACAACTTCAAGTTGCTAATGTTGTTACTGGGCGATGAACAATGTACACGTTTTATGAAGTGGTAATGATAACAGGCTTGCCTAGGAACGTACTCCAACACGTAGCTTCCATTCGGTGCCCGCCGATCAACCCATACGCTATTTACGTTTATGGGTAAATATTGACTGCGACTAATGACTCTTTGCTTTGAGCATTTTGACTTTGCCAAGCGATGCGATGAAAACATCACCACTGTGTTCGTCTCTGTGGGTATTGTAAAACTACTCTGCCGTAGCACTTGGCGTAGAACAACAATCTCACATGGCCATGCATTTAAAAAAAATGCGTTATCATAATGCCTAGCGATGATGTGAGACCGTCTCCAACGCGGTAAACTAGCGCGGAGATACCTGACGTTTATCTATATTACAAATCTACCAAATTATGTGGAAATGTTGATACCCATTTTAGTGCGAATTCGTACAAAAAAACTTTCACATATCTTATAAGTGTATTAAAACGGGGGAGTTGTCACCTGCGGTTGCGTCAGATAGCCATAGCGTGTCCGTCATTGTTTACAAACAAACGTCTACCCATGAGCCTTTGCGTTTTTAGCGTGTGTTGTTATCGTCGCTTGGGACTCAATTCCCGCGCGTGCGTAGGTGACGATCCTCCCGATTTAAATTTCATCTGGAATTAGATTTGAACACGTTTGTGTGCGAACTCACAAATACACACAAACAGGCCATGTCATCATATGAATTCTCACAAACTTGAATACTAGTTGTCATTTTATTGTTTAGGAACTTACGAAGCGGCACTTTATATAAACGTTTTTGCTTACTGACACTCCCATTGAATGCTAACATCCAGTGAATCTCCTTCTGGATCCGTTTGTGCAACATGGATCGTTAAATTTCCGTTCCACCCTCGTATATTTTGCAGCCGGAAGTATAACAAGTATGGCGATGACGTCACAGTTTAATGAGTCAAGCCGAGACGAAAATGGATTGGACTTGAATGATAACGAAGGCGAAGGTGAGATCTCACAATAATATTTTTTCAGGCGTTTGAAATACTAGTATATGGACAGGGAAGAATGTTTATACACGCATATCCCATGTAACAAAGCGCCGACGACAACAATATGCAAATGTAAAATCTTTCACCCATTCCAGGGGTGCGTTCAAGTTGGCGCCATTATCTCGGGGTGCCAGAGTGACGTTGTAATAGTTACCCAGTTAGGGCTTCCTAAAGAAGACATGTACGCGAACGTGGGTGAAGTAATGTTACGTGATCACATTGCTCTGTTGTATTTTAAAACATCGCAGGTTCCATTTTATGTTTGCGAAAATTACCTTTGTGACGTTTGTAGGATCATTTATTTTAATCCATGTTTCCCGGTATATATTTTGTATCAACCCCTTGATATAGTGATTTTGGAGTTTCTTTTGCGCGTTTATAATGGCGACTTCACTTTTTGACGCAATGTAGATTGTGCATTGAAGGCGCTATTGGTCATCGAATTAGAAATACCGGGTCGTGCCGCGGCTTTTATCCGAAATGATACTTTTAACAATTATTATATTTCACGAGAATTTACATTTTTATATGTTTTAGAATTATCTGACACTATACTAAAATCATTAATATAAAAATAATTCTCGCTGCTTAAAATTGCAGAGCACCTACTATCCTCGAGGGCGAAGCTGCGTCACAAGACGTTCCACGTTGCTAAGACGCGCACCACTGTACCATACATTTCTATGGGCTCTGTGCGCGCTGCTGTGGAACGCCGGTCGAGCCGGTGAAAATTCGAGAAAACAACACAAACTTAACTTTGAAGTAATCCTGAACAACCAAATTTATATATGTTACACACGTAGGACTAATTTTGTTACACTGTTCAGCGGAGTCTTAACAACCATCCCAAAGTACCGTTTTATGCGAGTTCTTGGCCTTTGTTTACACCGCGATGGTTGCCAGGCGGTGAAAATGCCCGGATGTCCGCCCGAGGCCGCGGTGCTCCAAACCCAACACAGTGAGATATGATGCCGTTCGGCCGGCGAGGGCCCTACTCACGCCTACATGACAGGCTACTACTATTATTAGCAGACGACATTACTAGAATTATCTCCACTAACCACGCGACGTTCTCGTGTTTTATCATTTTATAGGTGAATTAGCTACTTTGATGAAAAAGGCTGACTTAAATCTACAAGCTGGAAATTATAAAGAAGCCGTTCAGTGCTACAAGACTGCGATGCAAACCAACAATAACAACTCAGACACCAATGAACGACCGGGACCCGGCGCCGCCGTTGTACTAACTAAACTTGGTTTGGCAGCGGAATCTGCCGGTAACTATGACGACGCTGTTGAATATTTAGAGGAATCACTGGACACTTTGAAAGATATTCACGGTGAAGACGAGCCCCAGACGGACATATTAAATGTTCTTGACTCTCTGTCCAAGGTTTGTAAGAAATCAGAACATCCCAAAATGGCGATCGCGTATCTCCAGGAGTTACTGAGGCTGACACGAGTACTTCACAACGACGGCCCAACTTCACAGATTGCAGAGCTCTATAATCGTCTTGGCGTTGCCTGGCAACAGGAGGACCCGGATAAGTCGGTAAAATATCACTATTCCGCATTGGCAGTCTATAACAAAATATACGACGACGGAAACATCGATGATGACGCTCTGATAAATACGTATCGCTACCTAGGCGACGCTTGGCAACAGTATGGCGATTTCTATAAAATGGGTGCTTATTACAAAGAGGTATACGAACTCCAGAAAAAGAAAAGTGGACCAAACACCCCCTCAGAAGAAATGGTCGAATCTTTGATAAAACTTGCCTGTGCTTGTAAGGCCGTAGGTAACGTTGACATTGAGAAAGGGTGCTTCGGCGACATACTTGATATTCAGCGTAAATTGTACGGAGACGACGTTGACAATGAACGAGTACGAAAGGCACAAAAGAGACTTCGTGAAATAGAAAACTCAACAACGTTAAGCCATTTGCGCTGTGACACACAAAATAAATCAACATAGAGAGAATTCTTTTTTGAAAACTACGTATAAGCAGTTATATAACAATAATCCCTTCGTCTATTTCAAAACACCAATATACCATCAATATTGAGTAAGACAAATATTAACAATAATGTAACAATAATCAACATATTACGGTGGAGGTACAACTAGATGAAACAAGAATTTGTTTGCGAACGATGCGCATACGCATTGAGTAGTGCGTGACTGTATTATACATTTCAATACTGTAAAACCATTTAATTTTACTATTTTGATGTTTTGAGCAATTTCACTGAGTTCCAAGTTCGCGAACTTGACATGGAAACGAGTTATATTGTTATTATACGTGCATCTGATTAAGCGAATTTTACTTATCAAAGAAAATAGGGAAATTACAAATCAGCGATTACAGTAACACAGTTTCCCTTGCAGTTTACGAACAACTTTAATACACAATCGGTATGTATAACAGCATAATATTACGAATTAATATACCTAATTGTCACGTCGATGTCAAGTTCAAGTTGTTTTACCATGCTGTGTTAATTTATTCCAGTAACAGCCTACAGTTACACCAGTGTCAGGCAATATTCAGTTTTAATTACTCTCATAGAAATGTTGACCTCTGTCACATTCATCTTCATAAAAAAATGAATATTGACTTCAGTTCAGTATTTATTTGTATAACAAAATTAACCAAAATGAAGAGATCAAGCTCACACTATGAAATTACAGCGGTTCTTCGTGTAGCCATGTCAAAAATGTCGTACGAATGTGAAGGAAATTGTACTAGTGTATAACTTTGCGGTAACTATTACCGGTATATTTGAAATTACGCTAACTACCGCCCTCTAGTGGCGACGAGGACTTAAACCTTGCTTATCAAATACACATCAATGGAACATTATTGAAGGGCCGGTGAGGTAATTGAATTAATTGTTAAATGTTTAATTTCAATTTTGTGTAATGGAGATTTTGTTGCAGTATATAATATTTAATCAATAACTCAATTACTATTTATGTACACCACTTCATCGCATATACCGTTGACTGTGACATTATAGTTGTTGCATCAGTCTCGTGGTTGGTTGACCTGAGCTCATATTCTACCTGGGTTGAACACCAAAAGTGGAATGGACCGAAATAATTGGCCAACAGTGGTGAACATCAAGTTCACTAATGAATGCAACTATAATTCGGGAGAACCTTGGTCCGCAGTTGTCTATCGTGCATCACGGCTGACCAGGTTTTGATGCCCCATGCGTTGTCAAGGCCATGTGATAGACTGTCACACAGCCGTGTCACGTAGTCCCATTAAAACATGGAATGTGATTTCTGTGGCGAAATACAATATGTATACACGTATTTGCATATGTAATTTGTACATGGCTGCCTGGCACACGAAAATTTGAAAAAAACAAAGAAGAATATTATATTTATTGAATACTAGTACAAATATCAGGGTTTGTAATTCAATGTAAATCTGGGACGTAGATTCTTTTCAACGTTGTTAGATAGTTTGTACATTGTTTTAATGGAAGAGTTCTACGTTGATTCATTTGCATATTCAACTAATTTTCAACGTCTTTTCAGTTTTAGATAATTACGTTCATTCAACGTGTTTTCATAAATTGTAGCCGACTGTGATACAAAATATTATTCACATAATATTTTTTTTTATATTTCAAATGGAAAATATGTATACACACATACAATTTCCACAGGGAATATTTATATAATTTGTTATGCAAATATACCCATTAACAACGTAATGTTGAAAATGCTGGCAATTGCTGGCAATGAACAGATAATTTATTATTTAGAGATGGCCATTGTGTCTAATTATATGTTACGCATACTAGAACAGATGCTATATTACATGTACTATGCTATTGAATCTAAAGACCGACCGAGACTAAAATTATAGTATGACTCTCGTGCTTGATCGAGTGCGTACCTATACAGATATTTTTCTGAAATTCGACCTCTCCGCTGGACGGATGTGCGTACCGACCTGACGTCGATACAGCGTTTGATTGAGACGTGTATCTTGCGGCGTCAAATTACAAAGTCGCAGTTTGTCCGGCGTCCGGCGGCGTCGCTGCCCGCTGAATTTCGAGCTACGATCAAAGTGACGTCACGTCGGATCCCTGCTGGGTTTGGGTCGGTATTTTAAGTTTACATGTACTGTGGACAATTTTGAGTTGTGGAGTTTTGGCTTTGTTGAGTAGTGTGTTAAAAACAACTAGAACCTTGTCCTGGGAAAAGAAGAAAAAAACGCTTCGCCATTGTTGCACGGTAACAGGTAAGGAAAAGAAAGACATGCAAAGGAGTCTTCGCCTTTACGTGTCTCCGTACGAGTAAAGCACGCTTTTATTACCCACATGTCATCTTGACGTTCGCGGGTTTTCGGATTTCCATGATTATGATTTTATTTTATATTGTTGTCCAAAAAACACGCATAAAACATGTTGTCACGGGATTACTTTTCACGTAAAAAATGACCTAAAACCATTTAACATTGGTTTTGTGGGAAAAAAGTTCTTGTCATATCTGAAAATATCGTTCGGTGACATATTGTGAAAAAATAGTATGTTGGTATATGATGGGTGATTCTGTTTGTCACGAATTATTAGGAAATTCTGGAGATTATTATTATACTAGTATTTATTTTCCTTGAAATAATTCATGTATGATTTTCAACCGATTTGATAGGTTGAACTACCCGCGAACGACATTAACAAGACACTCAACGAATAAGTCATTTGGGCAGAGTGCACCACCATCACATAACATTTATCGTTTATCGTGTCATCATTTTGAAAACCATGTCATCCTTTCGTGTGAAGAAATTGACTGCTTGTTAATTTAATAACTATTTCGTGACGTATGAATCCATTGCGTAATGTATTAATAATTAGTGTCCTATATCAGTGTGGGCGTTTTATTTATTTTTAATTAAAAACAGCCCGGTGATGTGTCAGTGGTGAGAGTTCGCAGTTTCTGGCAGACTAACAAAGTATATGGAAAATAAATCCGTTTTGGACAAGAACAATATTTTTAGTACGTAACGAATCATAATTCAATATACTTATCAATATATAATATCAAACAGCAGTATTCGGAATGCAATACCGCATCTTTAAAATTTTAATTATAAAATCATTTAAACTCATAAAAAATTGTGTATACCACTTTTGTTTATTTTTAAAAGTAGAGCATAAACGTGAACAGCACTCGGTAGGGATAATAATAAATCCTACTGTCAACTTAAATCGGCAGTACTTTCTTAGACGAAAATCGAAACCACTAGTACGCATGCACAGGGATTGTCATTGTTTGTTACTAAATCAACCAGTCCACAAGCGCGTCATGAAATTTCTTTGTTCCATTGAACGAATACTTACATGCGTGATTCGAGAACAGAGTTTCCAGGTCATACCAAATCATAGTCCAATGTATTCATACAGTATGAAAGAGCAATATTTAAAATACATTTCCCCGTCCATATTGCATCTTTAAGGTCGGGCATGGGAGTGGTCATTTGCGCATGCTACAGGCGGCCGCCATTGTCTACCCATGAGCCTCTGTGATCCTCGCGTAAGACAATTATCATTAGTTTATCGTATACCATCATGTAACGACGTGGGAACACTGGTCAAATATTATTCAAAATATGTCATTTTTAGAACAACACCATAGAACACAATATTAAACCATAAGAGAATACTTTGTAGCTTTCTAAAACCCAGGTTTTTTGTTTTGAATAATTCAGTACGACGGCAATGACTCGTCAGTCACGACATATAATTGCAACAATGCTAAAAGCGTACTCATTCTGACATAAGCCTTAATTAGTTACTATAGAATACAACCATGTACATGTTAAGATTTTTTGGAGGGGTGACAGGAACGGACGTTGTGTTTTGTTTTGTTTTGTTTTTGAAAAAGATGATTTTCTACATATACAGTAGTGTATTGCATCTCAGAGAAATAATAAACTGGTTTTCTTGGTTGTCACCCTTCTAAAAAAATAACATGAACCTTTCATATTATCTCGAAATATAAGCTGGTGACTAGTTATCCCAAACGTCTTTCAAGTTGAAGTCGATATCCTTATACTGATCGGCAGTATGACTGATTGTAAAATATAGACACGGTAGTCTCGGTGTTTTTCATTCATTCACGCTTTCAACAAGTCATTCAATTTATGTCGAAAATTCAACAAGTACTGTGTAATTCATCATAATGAATCATCAGATTATATGGGCAACAAGGGTTAATTAACCACAGTCAAAATACGTCATAATTCAAGTATTAATACGCCCCCTGCAATTTTCTCCCTGGCACCCCATTCTATTATTAGAATCTCTCTGTCCGAGCAAACTAAACCCTGTGAAAAATAAATCGACTTGAACATGAAAATCACGATAGAATTCCTTGTTTCCTAAGTAATTCGTGAACGTAAAATCCAGTCAATATGTTGAGAAGAGTAGAATAGTGAAATTCAATACTTAAAAATAATGTTTCTACAGTATTCGACGGCCGTCAAACAAGGGCAATATTTTTTGTTTATTTTGCGGACGTTGTAATTTTAAACAACGCAAACTACCATATCTCATTTGGAACTCCATTGACACCTGCAACTCGTCAAACCACGACACGATATCACATTAATTGTTGTGTAATAACCTTCAATATCTGCCCACATCGTGCGATAATCCAACGTGTATTGGATTTTACCGCCTTTTGAATAGCAAAGGGGGTTACTAATTCAAAGAGCAGTGAAGGTACCAGCTTATGTTGCGCGTTATTGAACCGCTGACATTGTATAAAAGACGACGACACCAGGGAAGGTGATTCACAATCAATTCATCTTCTGACTGCGCAGTACGTGCATCGGAAAATCGAGTGCCTCAACAAACGGACAAACGGACGGTCGGACTTTGAGTAAATATTCGAACGACTGTTCAAAGTAAGTATTGTCTTAATAATAGGATTTTTTTTTTAATTTTTATTTATTTTTGCTGACTGAAAAACAAGGGATTATTGTATTAGTACTTATTATATTCATCTCAATTAGTACAATACGTTGAACTTCAGAATATTTTTTGAGTGGATGGGACGGGGGTGTCAACGTAAAAAGTCGTTTAAGTTAGCTGCTAACATTGTATCCAAGAATTACTTGACGTTCACCGTGTGGCTTTGTTACGCGGTTGCTTACAAGATACTTGTGGTTGTCCTGAATTAATTGAGGGAAATTTTGACGCATAATAATTTTATTTTATGAGAAAATATTTTAACATGACTTCGTATGAAAACAATTCTAAAACATCCCCAGCAAAACATTTCGAATTGAACCAAAAAAACAAACAAAAAAACAACAACCAACGACTTGTATATAAATCAACAAATATATAACTTTCGTGGCAATTACTCTTGTTATAATAATATGTCAAATGTTCTCTTGAAATAAAAATTATATCCCAGTTTTACGCGTGATTAATTTTATGTTTGACGCAAAACAAACGTTAATTTAACGAAATCCGTACTCTACATTTCCTACTAAGATTCATTATAAAACACAACTATTTAAACATTCTGAACATTGCACCTTTAAATAAAAAAAACTAACGCCGGAAATTGTATATCGGGAAATGATTTGCTCATGAACGGGCCAGAGGAATGTGAAAGTATGAATATACGTTTAGTGTATATCCACCTTTTGCGGACGCCTTTTGCGTTCCGCTAGTATAAACACCAGCATATCCAGTAGTTAGATTATAAATGGGACAGGTACCTGCATAAAACTGTTCGAACTCTGCCTTCTAACTACGGGTCATCTGGTTAAAGTGCAGCGTAAATCATGTCTAATTCAAAGGGCGGTAGTCGTCGTGCCGCGTACTGTTCAATATGGGACTCATAGCGACGTACACAACGCGTGTAAAATATATTGTTTGTTTACATGAAATTCGAACACGCGTTGAGCGACGACCATCGCCCGCTAAAATTATATATAGAAATCAATGCGCATCTAAAAACAGAACCACTGTAATTGCAGTGTTTTGTCTTCGGGCCCTGTCTAATATATTATCTCGGCGTGGTTGGTAATTTTATGCATTTTGAGCACGGAACATATTTTTTTTTATGTTTTATCTTGATTACAACCGTGAATATAAAAAGGGTTAAAAATATTACGTATTCGTGATAATGTAAACTAAAGGAATTATGTACGGCGATTGGTTATGCAAATGATCCAGGATCTTTACTATGACTCGAGTAGGTACTCACAAACTACAATATCAGTATCAGTGTTTATCATCCTCTTTATATTATTACTCACGGTATTACTCACGGTTTATGTCTTTTTCTTACAGAAAACTCGAAGATGAACAGTTTGTTCTCATATTTTCTGTTATGTTTGGTGGTTTTGCCAGTGATACATGCTGTGCCCGTACGTATGAAACCAGACCTGACCGTGAGAGACAGTGGGATTAATAAAAGAAGTGTGACTGAAGAACCTGTCGCAGCTGATTTAGAGGAAGTGAACAACAATGAAACAGCCACTGAAGGAACAGTAAACAGTGACCCTGTGAATGCCGGTTTAATAGAAGATGAACTGGCCGAATTGGATGAGCTATCAGATAATCCAACTAATGGATCTGACATTATCATCGCTGATTATCCTCCATATGATAGTTGGTTGATACCTGAAGATCAAAAGTTTCCACAAAGAAAAGGTCATGGCGATGTTCAACCACACAACGGGAATGCTATGGGTGTAATTCGTCAGCCGGGGAAATTTGTTATTATTAACCCTGGTCCCGAAAATGCTGAACCAAAATTACCACCAACAGATCAAAAGTCACCAAATGGAAAAGGTTATGGCAACGTTCAACCACACAATAGGAATGGTGTGGGCGTAATTCGTCAACCGGGCAAATTTGTCTCTGTCAACCCAGATCCTATATTCATTGAACCAACAGCAGAATATAATTATCCTGTGCACCATAAAGAACAACCTATGGGGTCACCATCAGCTACTGAAGAAAGTCCAATTTCTTGGTATCCAGGTATGAAGCAGCCGAAGGTGCCCAATCAGGGTAATATTTGGTTGACACCTAAAGACCAAAAGTTTTTAAATGGAAAAGATCACGGCAAGGTGCAACCACACAACGGGGATGGTATGGGCGTAATTCGTCAGCCTGGAAAATTTCGTCCAATTAACCCTGAACCTG